CCCACATAGCGTCACAATGTGATAAGCCGGGGTTTTCAAACCCTCAGGCCATCATATACACCAACTACTCACCTCTAACCGGCCGTAGAATGGTCCGCAATGCCTTTTCCTTTCGTATCGACCTCCTCGCGTGTCGAATCTAGTTAAAATCATAACGAATACATAAATATGGGTTAAAGAAACATAACCCAATCAAAAATACTCGAAAAGTACTAAAATTCACAAAGTTGGTAAAACCCGAGCCCCGGGCCCACTTCTTGAAAAATTCCGAAAATCACACCAACGGATTCCTCGTCTCGCCACCAGTCCGTGCATATAAAGTTTACCAAAATCGGAGCTCGTTTGACCCTCCAAATTCCATTTTTACATCATAGCTTTCCAAGCCCTAGCTTGACCCGTTTTTGATGAATTTTCTACAATTTACATGTAATTTCTACCATAGATTCGAATATTTAGGCCAAGGAACTTACCTCCAAGTGGTTCTTAGTCAAAACCCTCGAATTTCCTTGTTCAAAGCTCTTAAGAACGTCAACAATAGAGGAAAAATATGAAAGGGTCGCGGATGAAATATTATTTTAAAACCCTTCTGTCGCCCAGCGATTTTCGCTTCTGCGGTCCCGCTTTCGCTTATGCGGGACCGCTTCTGCGGCCACATTTCCGCTTAAGCGGTTTTCACTTAGAAGCCCGGACTTCACTTATGCGACGCGAAGTCCGCTTCTGCGGTTCCTTCAAAACCGCTTCTGCGGCACATTGTCCGCTTATGCGGAGCCGCTGGTGCGAGCCACCTTCCGCATCTGCGGAATTTCCCTAGCCGGCCACGACCGCTTCTGTGACCACGTACCCGCTTCTGCGGTACCGCTTCTGCGGTCCATTTCCGCAGAAGCGGAAACACCAGATGACAGAAAATCTAACCTGCAATTACACCTCAAAACTCTCGTTTAACCACCCGAATTCACCCCGAGGCCCTCGGGACCTCAACCAAATGCACAGATATGTTCTATTACTTCATTCAAACTTGCTCGTAACATAAAAACACTATCATAAACACCAAAATCATCGAATTACCACGGATTCAAGCCTAAGTTAAACTAAAACTTCCGAAACTTGCATTTGATCTAAAACCCGACCTAAACACCTCCGAATGATCTGAAACTTTGCACGCATATCCAAAATCACCTAACGGAGCTACTGCAACTCTCGGAATTCCATTCCGACCCTCGGATCAAAATCTCACCTACCATCCGGAATTCGCCAAAATCCAACCTTAGCCAATTCAAGCCTAATTCTACACCGGACCTCCAAATTCAATTCCGATTGCGCTCCTAAGTCACAAATCATCTCCCGAAACTAGTCAAATCATCGGAAATCCATTCCGAGCCTTCTAACTCATAAGTCAACATTCGGTTGACTTTTCCAAACAATCCTTCT